CGGACAGAGCGGCAGCAGAGCAACGGTCCGGCTCCCCCAGCCCGGCCCGCCCCGGCGGACCAGAGCGGCAGCAGAGCAACGGTCCAGCTCCTTCCCCCAGCCCCGGCCCCCCGGCGGGCACAGCTGCATCAAAGCACGTCCAGTTCCCCCATCCACGGCCCTCCCGGCTGGCAGAGCGGGCAAAGCAAACACGTCCAGCTCCCCCAGCCCGAGGCCCGCCCCAGCGGACAGAGCGGCAGTTAGAGGCGACGGTTGCAGCCTCATCCAGCCCGGCCCGCCCCAGGCGTGGCAGAGTCGGCAGCAGAGCAAACGGATCCAGCCTCCTCCAGCCCGGCCCCGCCCCGGCGGACAGAGCGGTAGTAGAGCGACGGTTCAGCCTCATCCAGCCTGGCCCGCTTCGATGCCAAAGGTGTCAGGTGAGGCGACGGTTCATTTCCAGCCCGGCCCGACTCCAATGGACAGAGTCGGCCAGCAGAGCGATAGTTCAGCCCCTCCAGTCCGGCCCGCTCCGGTGCCGGGGCGGCAGCAAAGTGACGGTTCATTTCACCAGCCTGGCCCGCCCCAGTGGACAGAGCGGCAGCAGAGCGACAGTTCAGCTCCCCTAGCCCGGCCTGCCCTAGTGGCCAGAGCAGCAGCGTTGCCAGCGCACTGCTCACGGAACAGGTGAACAGGTGACGCGAACTGCTAACATCACCGGGCGACATCCGCAAACGGAGTCAAATGACACCTCTCGTGTGGCACTGCAAGGTCCCAACCGTCGGCACAACGCGGCTGGGCAGCGGCCACCCCCACAGTGGGAGATAACATCACGAGCAATCAAACATCCATTGGGCAGACTGGAACCTCCTGACAATGGCGCGTCCAGCCACCCCCACCAGAGATCGAACAGCGATCATATCCACAAACCATCAGGGGGAGCTGTGTGGCGAACGCAGCCACTAACCTGGAAATACTGAGAGGCTGATGCCTCCTCTGTGCATTCTGAGAACACTGCCACTAACCTGGAAATACTGAGAGGCTGATGCCTCCTCTGTGCGTTCTGAGAACACGGACGCTGCCTGGCCGGACTTGAAGTCCTGCATGAACTTGTGAAATCGCTGGCAGTCTGAAACCATCGTCGACTACGTCACCGTCGCACACGGAAAAATACGCTGGAAGGATCAGTCAGGTTACAATGAAGAACTGGCCATTCTGTGCGCCCTGCAGAACTTAAATGCAGTGATACAGAAGCACAAAAAAGTGAGAAGGGTATAGCATTCAAATGCTGTTGAAATGTGAGAAAGATGAGATAAACACACTCAAATCACGATACATACACACAAAAATGAAATCCTAAGGTATGCACAACAAATAAACAAGACAGATCAATCTGGGGATTAACATGCATTATTAGACTGTCTAAACAAAACAAAAGCAAAAAATGGAAACAAGGTTTACCATATGAAGTTAACAGTTCAACTCCCCACAGGCAGTGAGAAGGGCAGGGCGTCTCTCAACAGGTATGCTCATGTCATTCCGTGTCACCTGTACAAACCTTGCGTGGTATGAAACACAACCATGAAGGCATCACTGGTGAAAGAGAAAATGTAGGAGGTCCTGCCAGCTTTGCAGCACTCTGTTGTCTTTGTGATAGGGAACTCCAGCTGGATCTTATGTCCTGAAATACAAAATATCTTTCACCGTCATTGGCAGGCACAACCAAGCCACTCACTTTTTATGTAAGTTTCACTTTTCCAATGCAAACTGCATCATTCATGACTGCTCTCAGGTGGTGGTGGGCTTTAAATGGAGCATTCCACATACATGTGGTGTTTTGAACTGAAATAACCATCTTGAGGACCTTTTGAAGATGTTCACAATTATGCCCTCCTTAAGACCTACACCCCTGAAGTTTCTGAGCTACACACCTGTGAAAATCATAAAATGTATATCAGGAAAAATAGGTCAAGGTCACCTTGGCATTTGCTGTCATAATAACCACATTTAAATCCTGCCATTCCATAAGCCATGCCGCAATCAAGGCTAAAAGATTTAGCTGTCCAGGCATTTATATCTAGCATTCATGAGCTTGATTCCCAGATATCATGGCCCTGAACTTGCTTTCAATCAATGTAGGGCAAGGTACAATGACATAATGAAACCATGGCATACTGAGGAGCATATTTACTTAAACAGCAACAGAAACAGAACCAACAAGAACAGAAAGTTGTGTTCTCTAGGGTGGTCTTTTCCATTCAAAAAGTATACCAACAGGTATAAGTGAGCATGTTTCATTTTACCTGATGATTTCTTCAATATCATCAAATGTGAAACATTTCCTCTGTGACAAGCCATGAGGTAGGTCCTAGGTCCTAAATATTTAGGAGTTATTTAAGGCTACTTTTATAACAGTCCATTAAAATTACTGGTGGAGTCCAAAACATGATACTTGACAAAAAAGGGAGATGGTAATTTGCAGCCCATCAATTTCAAGGGCCTTACTCTTCAACCAACACTTACATTTAATTTTTGATTTTCTACAGTTATGACTCAATAACAAATTTGGTTTTAAGCAGACTTCTTGTAACCATATGCAGTCTCAATCATGTGGAGTATACTTTTTACCATATGGATCATAAATTCATGTTAAGTGCATGGTAGCCAGTGTCACATCATGCTAAAATTCCTTAGCAAGATCAAAGAGAGAATTAAGCATGAACATGACATGGCAGCAACAAATCTTACCTCAATGTGACAACAAAATACTACACCCAACTGTGGGTCAAATGCTTCCCACACATACTTTGAATGTGTTCTTGAGAACCTTTCCCTTCATCTTATTGTTCAGCATGACCCCTGGTTGCACTCACCTGCATAAAATTTAGCACTCATCCCAGCTGGATCATAGCTAAGGCATAATTGCACCTTCTTTTTTATGCGACAAACCGTGTCACCATCTTCGAGAACATTCAAGATGCCCACATTGTCGTACACCATACCCATGATTCGCTCTTTATAAGAGGCTATAAAGCAGATTATGCAAATCTGTTGATTGTCTTACTGATGCGAAGAGACAAGTACATCTTGAACTCAGGACATTTAAATTTCACTTAATTTAATTTAAGTCCCTATGCATGGCACCCCTACGCATAACACAGCCAAACCGGGGTATCATAGTAAAAACCAAGGCCGCGGAGAGATGGGTAGCGTAAAATTATTTCACGTCTTATGAACGCCATATTTGAAACAGTCAAGGCTACCAAATACTCAAAATTTATCCACATTCTTCATGCTATTCAGTTTCCCTTTACTAGTGGAAATTCACGGTCGCCTAAGCTGTGCGGAGTATGTGAGCTGTGCAACATGGAGATTTTAGCGTTAAAAGCATGGGCCTCACCACAACAGTTCCCACTTTCCTGGTGCAAAATCCCGGCCGCACATGATTCCTTGATCTGCTATTTCCCCACAGTGTTTATTGAAACGCAGAGCAATGTCAGGCAAAGGTCATCACGTCATACAACAACACACACACTGCAGACATATTTACACGCTAGATATCTTAATTGTTATTATACATGCATAATGCAAGCAAGAAAGGAATGCACGACATATAACGGATCAGCACAAATGTGCGGGTACGTAAGGTCAGCGTTCCCACAGGACTTTCGTTTCTTCAAGGTGCATTAATACCACGCAAGGTTATAAAACAAAAAAAGCGCCGGGGACCTCGAAAAATCGTCTAAGGATCCGTGATCACTCCGACGGGCTTACATTTTGCAGATGTGCAGGTGCCGAGCACCCGGCCGTTGGCGCGCCAGGTCGACACGGTCTCCCATCACCGTGTCCGTCTCAACGTCTCTCCGACAGCCAATTCTAACCGTAGTCCGTGCTCTGTTTGAACGTACTCATACTCCGGCGGGGTCGGTGTGTTTAAAAGGGCGCCCCCTTCTGATCGTTCTGGCGCCCACGTCCGGAACCAGCGCCCGCGCCAAACGTAACAAGCGAAAACCGTGCTCGTACATGGAAAAAGCAGCATGTGGCCCAAGACGGATAAATAAGCCGTGCGCCACATCTGAAGCTAGCGTTTTCATTCCTGTCCCCGGGATTACGAAAAACACGCACGCGTCGTAAGACTAACGGACTCGCACCCTAAAAAAACAGCATGAGGCCCACGGCGGATACATACGCCGCGCGCCACAGCAACTGTTCAAACTATCTCCGGCCGTCGTCAGGTATTATCGAGTCCTGAAAATGACGCCTGGCTTTTAGTCATGTCAGCGCCACAGCCCAAATTCTCCACTTGAAAATGTGTATTTTCAAACCAGGGTCATTTGAACGAGAATCCGGGGCTCTATCAATTGAACTAATCGAAGACAAGGGAAGGGCAAGCCCTTTCCGGTTTAATAAGTTGGTGCAACACTGGACTGTATTAGACGACCTTGGTTCGAGTCCCAGCAATGGCAAGGAGAGAACTCGGGTTGTGACGCATACATGGCTTGAAGACAAACATCATCCATTCTTGATCAGTACTCCATAACACGTGACGTTGATAGGAGAGCTAACTGACGGAAACATTGTGTATTACTGATACACCAGACTTGTAAAATAGTCCAAATTAGGTCAAAAAGCGTCGTGATGAGAGAAAAAAGCTGCGCCGCATCCTGACCAGGCAGGGGCGGACTTAAGTTCCAAGTGTGCCTCTGGCCACGCACATACAAAGAAACTCAGCCCAAGAACACTACATAAATCGCCAACTTGACCACAGAGGAACAGACAAGAATGTCACATGCTCCCAGGCCGCAGAACCAGCACCAACCGTATCTGGAAGAACCGGACACTTGCCCTGCATCTGCCTCCATCTGCCCGCAGTCGCCGGGAGCCCAGTACTAGGAAGCTATGGGGGCTTGCTCACTGGTGTGCATACCGTTCAGTCCCCGCCGGGAGAGTAGACTCGTGCGTGGATATCATGGGTTAAACCTCACCGTTTGAGGTGGGTCTGATGTTATCAGCATCGGCAGAATATGGAACACCGTAAAACGCCGAGCGCTGGTGCACCGAGGCTGGAAATACCCTTATGTCCCCTAATACCCACCGTGGACGTCTGAAAAAGTTTGGGTAGTGTCACGTCGCCAGCTAGGTGCCCATCAACCTCCGAATTACTTTTTACCCGAAACGTTGATAAATCGCAAAATTACGAAAGGACATGACACTCAAGGGTACAGTCAACGCCTCCAGAATGTCCACACACATGCAAGATAGACTCGTCCAGGTGATCACGACATCAGTGGCTGAGCCTCAATGAGTGAGCCTCATAGCTTGCCAATACTGAACAAAAGAATGACACGCGCGGCGCGTTCAACCAGCCACTCCGAATGTCCGTGGAGTTGGTGATTTACCCAGTGACGTAATCAGCGACGAGTTCCAAATTCGCTCAAAGCACGTCAGATGGTTTATTGTGGCACAACATCGAAAGTAACGATTGCTCTTGCACTGTCGTGTCAATACCTTTTAAGATCACATCAAAGCTCAAATGACGGGTAGCTTCATATCACAAACAATTACCGGCCGATTTCAGTTTTTAAAGCATCAGAACCTTCACCGGCAAGGGAACTACGTCCATCAAACATCATGCCTATTAATATCACCCTTCGAGGCCAAAGTTATGCCTGAATGACGGGGAACTACGCATCACTTAAAAATCCTTGACAGATTTCGGATTTTTTACCACCAGAATGATCACAAACGCATGAAGTGGCGTCTGCCACATCGTCGTGACCCCTCAAAGTCATCCTTCAATCTCAAACTCAGGCTCAAAGAACGGGGAACTCCATATCACCAACAAATCACCGGCCAATTTCAACTCTTCAAACTCCAGGGTATTCGCTACGGCAGGAACTAGCGTCTTCCTGCAAAAACAGATTTTCAGGGTCCATTCTTCGCCTATACCAATAAGCCCTTCAAGGTTTGCATGAAAAACAAGCATTACTCGATTGCCACCAATCACAGCATATGCGCATAATGGATCTCACAACTCAAATGAATATGTGACATGATGACATAGTTGGGGGATGCTAATTTTTTGGCAACCATAAGGACCTTTAACTCATAAGACTATACCAGACACAAATCGTGCACTGTGTTTCAGTTTGAAAAACAAGTCCAGATTCCATGCCTCCTATCTCTGTCACGCAAACATGCGACCCCTTACATCGCAGAAAATTCAGGTAATAAAGAGCCTGTAGCTGATCACTGCTATTGGTGGTGGTCATATGATCTGAATCATAGCTGTCTATAGTGCCACATTTTTCAGACAAGCCCAAAGAGATAGAAACTAATTGCATTTAGTTTTACAGGTTGGAATAAAAAAAGTTGTTTCCAAACTTGCTAAGATCATGCACAAAGTAGGATTAGTCCAGATTCATTAGGATTCTGAACTTCAGAAACTTCAGAACTTAGGATTACATTTCAGTCGATAAAAATATGGAAGACAACTGAGAATGACGCATCTTTAAGCCTGTACTATGATGTACTCAAGTTGAGCTGCCAAGCCATTTAACTAGTTTGCTACCAAGTCTAGTTCATTGCATGAACTGAGCTTTTTGAGTGGATAAGACATTTAGGGGCAAACAAATCAACCTGAGACCAATTTGGAACTTATTCAAGTCTACGTGTTCTGTCTACCCAGACCAGACACAAGCGCTGCGAGACGGCAACTGTATTAACCCGCGAAGCGAGCGGGCGGCGCCGACTCCGGCGGGTGGCGCCCCAGGCAGTACACCGCCATTCGGGGCAGCGGCGTACCAAAGTGCAGCAGCACTGGCGGCGCGAGCAGGGGCGGCCTCAGGAGTACGCCAGTAACATCATGATACATCTCCCCCCTTGAGGAAATGCAAATAAATGTATAATATATAAAAAAACGCTTGCGAAACGAAATTATTGGCGACAGACTGCTGCTTCCCTGCTGCTGCCATGCTGCTTCTGAGGCTGCTGCTTCCCTTCTGCTTCTCGGACTGCTTCTTCTCTGCTGCTTTCCTGCTGCTTCCCACCTGCTTTCCTGCTGCTTCCCTGCTGCTTCTCTTTGATGTCTCTCAGAAAACGCGGCCACTGCGTGTTTTACGCGGACTAAAACTAAGCAGTGGCGTTGGGCCTTGTGTCTGGGGCACTTGCGCGTTGCAGGGCTGGGCCGCAGCTTCTGTCAGCGGCGGCAGCGACGGCGGCGGCGCCGTTTTCGACGCGGGCGACGGCACAGCTGGTGGTGGCCGTGGCACCACCGATCGTGGTGCAGGCGCCGGTTCGCGCGGCTGCGGTTGCAGCAGCGCCGGTGGCGCCACCTCAGCATGGCGGCCAGAGAGGAGGTCTGGAGCGGGCACCCTGTGTGCAGAATAGTCAGCACGCCGCGCGGAACCGTGCTGTGTCAACACCTGAAACGGAGGGATCTGCATCAGATGACGTCGGTTGCGACGATAGCGAGCACCCTTGAGCTCCACAAGGTAGCTGCGTCTAGAGAACTTCTCTATGACGGTGGCGGGCTCGGACCAGCTTGCTTCCTTCTCCGCCTTGATCCGAACATGATCCCCGGGCTGTAGCTGCTGAAGATCGCGGGCACCGTGTCTCCGGTTGAAGCATGTCTCCAGCTTCTTCTTCCTCTGCCGATCTCGGAGTTTGGCATGCTGCCATGTCGCTTCTCCGGTTGGCTGAGCGATGAGGAGACGAGACTGAAGTTCGCGTCCCATCAGGAGACGGGTTGGGGAGTATCCGGTTGCTTCCACAGGCGTCGTGCGGTAGTTGAGGAGGACGAGGTGGGGGTCCCTCTGGCGAAGTATCCACTTGGCGGTTCTCACGGCCCGTTCAGCTACTCCGTTGGAAGACGGCGTGTGCGGGTCTGTGATGCGGTTTGTAAAGCCGTATGACGCTGTGAAGTTGGCGAACGAGCTTGAAGTGAACTGCGTTCCTCCGTCTGTTGTCACGAGGTCTGGTATCCCCAAGCGGGAAAACAGGCGCTTCAGACGCTCGATGACTGCGCTGCTGGTGAGACTCGGGAGGCGTTGTATCTCCAGATACCTGCTGAAGATGTCCACCGTGACGAGCCAGTTGCAGTTGTTGAAGTGGAAGACGTCTGCTGCAACGTGCGTCCACGGTCTTGATGGCGTTGGGGTTGTCACCAGTGGCTC